GAGAGAGAGTACCAACATGATGAATCACAATAATGAAGTTGAGAGTTTGATTGTCACAACTCGAGTTGGTAAAAATATTTTCCCAGTCTTTCTTCGAATATTTTACCTGTAACATCTGGGTAGGCTATAATTTGTAATTTTATTAAGAATTTTACAGCACTTGCAACACAAATAGGCCAATACCAGTAAGTGCGGAAGATTAGAGGTATTAATAGAGAGTAACATACAAAGAAGCGACAGATACGTGTTAGGAGACTACTGAGAATATCGTGGAAAAAAAAAGAAATCAAATGAGGCTGTACAGTTCTTGATGAAGCCCACGTAGGACACTCACTGGTAAAAACAATCAGGAAACGTCAAATGCAGTTTTTGGGACACCTGAATAGACATAAAGGTTTTGAACATCTAGCTCCCAATGGCAAAATTGAAGACAAACGAGGAAGGGGTAGGCCCAGAGCAACCTATTTAGGGACCTTAGACAAATGGGTAACGGGGAATGATAAGGGTAACGTAATGTAGTTTTTTAAGAGCATCCGAGCAAAGGAATGAATGGAGAATCGTGATCGCCGATGTTTGCCGCAGATCTGGCTCTGGAAGATGATGATAAACATACAAATAAAAGACGAAAGAGAGATATAACGATAGATGTTGACAGGAAAGAGGAGCAAAATATACTAGAGCACCTGCCAACCACCCACTGGTATGATTTCTATAAATAGTCTACATGGAATCCTTGCCCACCTCTGCCCCTTTTTCACACAAACAAATCCTCAGTTCTTCGTTAAAATAAATATAATTACCGCATAGCCTATATTACCTATATAATATGAATGGTCAGTATTATGGTTAAAAGTCACACCAAAACAAGGGTAGCCTAATCATGGATCTGCATTGTCAATTGCAAACCTTTTGGCTTATAGATCTAGCAAATAAATCTTCGAGATTTTTAACTGACTAGTTTTTTATTTTAAAAAATTGAATGGCTTTTGGTCTCAATGAAGTAGGAAAAGGAATTGGATTCGAACGTATATGCTATTTTACATGTATTATTTTTTAAATATTTATTTTGCAGCCGGACACTTTTGCAAGGGGGCGTTAAATTGGTGGCTTTAATTTTAAAAAACAACAACAACAATGTTGAATTTGAATTCTTAGATGATTAATTATCTCCAACAACAACAACAACAACAACAACAACAACAACAAGAAGAATTGTATTTA